CTGAGCAAATAGTCATGTAATTATTACCGAACAGGTATTCACGAAATAAGCGAATAATTGCGAGCGAAGGGCAGCTCGTATTTGGTCCCCTGGCGCCCGTCGCGCTGCACGTCCATCGCACCAAGGACACAGCGTTTGCTGGAGACGTAACGAAAGAATCATCTGCGGAGCCGCCTCAAGCGTTTTCGAAGCGGCGTCATATTCATTCAAAAACTGACCGCGGACAGTGTTTGTGTGTGACCAACCCGACAGTATAGCGTCGTGCCATGAAGACACACTCGTCAGGCAGTTTCTGCGGGCTATCTCTCATACACTATATGAGATGCGTGACCGCGGCTTGGAGGCTTACTTTGAACTCTTTTCTCGCCTCGACCACAATCTGCCTTCTCATTTCGTCGGGATTTGCGCGAAACTAGGGGCTCAAGCCCCGAGCGCATATTCTCTCATCGGGCTCCACTCATCCGCTTGCTGCGCAGATTCGTCGCAATTTATGCATGAGCCGCGGAAGGACGACTGCGCGACAGTAAAGCGGCACTGTATCATAGATGCGCTTTTCTGCAGCGCACGCTCTCGTCATCTTCCCAGATTGGTTAATGTTTCTCGGAGATACGTGCACGTAAGCACTAGAGTTTCGAGGCCTAATTGAAGCGAGCAACGGTGAGCCGATAATTTTTATCACCGAGACCGATCGCATCCTAACACTAAAGACATTTTGGTTTGTCTTATATGGGCGCTGCTGTATATAAGTTATTATTATTATCACCGTTTTTGAGAACCTTCATGCTTAGAAGATGCTCGACTTGCGCCCGAAGAAAATTCTGTCATTCTGCCTACAGCCAACGCCGTGTCTTTTCTACGATGTCCGAAGAGTGCGACTGCGACATCAACACAATTTTGCCACGTCTCCCAGAGCGCCGATTGGAGGCCAACCCCGCTCGGCGCCACAGAACCGCAGCCCTATAGACCCTGTAGCTGCTCGTCTGCACCGCAGCCCGAAACTTGCCGCCACGACCGAGAATGGACGAATCTTTTCTTTGTTTTCTTTTCTTTGTTTTTCTTTCTTTTTTCTCTCGGCGGCAGTATCGGAGTGCGGCGTAGGAGAAGGCGTCCCCCCGGGCGATAAGAAGCAGTGCCGTGCGACCGCAGAGTCGTCCGAAGAGCGGGGCAGCTGGTGTCGTCCCGGTCGGGGTCCGCTGCATTATTAATGCCCCGCGGCAGGGTGGGGCAACGTTCAAAGCCCTCTCCGCTCGTCCGGGGATCGCGGTGGTACACCTTTGCCGGGCCCTCTATCGCCATCCATTGATCCGCGCTCCAGTTCGCGCCGGGACCGGCCAAGGCTGGCGGCAGATTCGCCAGCGCACGCGGGACAGCGGCACGCGCCGTCAAGGACCCAACCCTCGGCCTCGGACCCCCGCGATGAATTCGCCTGGTACCCAAGCCTAGAAAAAGGAAGACTGTAAAAAAACAATATGCCGCTCTCGCCTATCGAAGTCGTCTCGCTCTTTGTGTGGTTATAACGGCGGACTTCGACTTGGACTTCGGTAACGGCGGCGCCGACGCGAGACTGCGCCACGAATCGTTTACCTGGAATCACTCCGCCCGTTCTCGGAAAAGGAAAAAAAAGGGTGGCGTAGTTCGCGGAAAAATGATTATGAGGATTATAAAAAAAAACGGAAAAGGAGCTACGCGAGGGATTCGGTTTTGTAATAATGATGGATGGTGAAACACATTGAAAAAGACCTTGAGGTAACGTTTCGAGTAGAAGTATTATCCATACGTTCTTCAACCGAGTCATCATATCTGGAAACCAAATGATAAAAGGCTTTATACAGAATTCTCAGTCCGGGAAGAGAGGGTTGACATATTTGGGAGAGGTTTGGGGGAGGGGGAGATATTATAAGCTTGCGTACTTTTGTGTATGGTAAGATAGTGAACTTTTATAATAAGAAGTAAGTGGAAAATAACTCGAGCTCGAATTGAAGCAGTCCGCGCTTCAGGAAAACCAAAGCTTCGCGAGAAGGAAACCTTTAATTACAACTTTATTTTGCGTTCACCCAGAATACAACCAACACTTCAGACTTCGACGGCACTCGTTACATTTTATCAAATTACTCGTATTGATTACTTTTTAGAGTAGTTTTGTAATCAATTGAATACATTTATTAGAAAGTAATCGCAAAAGTAAGTCCCAATATTTTTGGAACTAATTTTGTAATAATCTGAATATATTCATTTGGAACTAATCGTAAGAGTAATCTAGTTACTTTTGAATTTGTTAAAATTACTTTTAACTATTGCTATTTTTCATTCCTTTTTTAATGGCGGCCTTTGCACAACTTCCCTGTCATGAAATCCTCGAACCACGTCTTCGGCAGGAGAATGAGTTACCAAAACAGGTGGATTAAAAACAAATATAAGTAGTTTAGAGTTTGCTGATTGTAAATCCAATAATATACGGTACGAAAAACCCTTTTTCAAACCGGCAGAAAAAAAGCTGTCGTTTTGGAAATCGAATGGAATTGGAATGGTAACGATAGCTTTGTTCGAGTGACTTTCGATTCCATTTTTTTTTTCTCGAATAATCGATTACTATAACCAAATAGTCTTTAGACGAGAGTAATTGTACTTGTAATCGGTTATTTTATTCGAGTATACTCGACTACAAGACTGCCATTGACTGTCTATGAGGCTGGTGTTCAGCTCGCGTGTATGTTCCCTTTGAAGTTGGAGAATTCCCTGCCTCTTCTTTACTCCAACATAGACCCGAAAAACACCAATTTTTTTTTCCGGTGCCGACAATTAAAAAAAAACTAAAAAGAATAAAAGGAACGACAAAGTTGGCGGATAAAATAAGTCACAAAAAACACTCCCGAAATTGAAGGCAAATAAAGCCTTTCAGAAGACTTTAAATAAGAAAAGAGACTCGAATACGCGAACGTTTCGGAAAGATATTGAGCCCCAGTTGTGATTTGGGTTTCGTGTTTTCCGTAAATATACCTGTAAGATCCACGAAAAATAATCCGCAAGTCTGTTCTATCGAAGTCGGAGGAAACCGAAAATGGGTAACGGACATTTCGTCGAACGCCGATTCATCGAATAGGTTTCATCGAATCACTCGGCTCCGTTTCATCGACCTTCACCTCGCAGAATTTTGGAGCATTATAATTCATTTTAGGTGTTTTAATCCTGCTTTTTGTTTTTATTTCGCTACTGTCAAATCAACAAAAATAGAATTATTACCCGGGTCACTTTTCCACTAAACGTTTGGTTGCTGAAATACCGAACATAAAAAAAGAAACTTCCGTGGGTATGAGACATAACGTTTTCCGGCTATATAAACGGCTGTACTCCAACACATACTTTGTTTCCTATTTGTCCATGTATCAAAGGTACTAGATTCGTAAAGGAATGTAAGTATTCATCACGGCTTCTTTTTACTTTTTTAATTACCTATTTACTTGTGTTTTCATTCTATTATAGGAGAATGGCACGATTTCCAAGAACGTAGGTTGAAAAGCCGGCAAGTCCACGGTTCTGCCGATGGCGAAAAGTAAACAAAGAAGAGAGGCACGTCTTTAGTTGTCGTTAATGCAACATGGAGACGTGTCATTGCTTCAAGGACGGCTTCGTGCTTGAAACAAAATACGTCTCTTCAAGGACGAGGATCCACCCTTGAAGGGAAGCCCATTCGTCACTGCACCCGATGATCACTGGTGTCATAAAATGTAAGGCGATGTGCCTGTTTATTATTGGCCGCATTAGCAGCAAACCTCATTAGTTACTATATAAAAAATATAGAAATGAAAATTCTAACGGAAAAACTAGTTTCTTGTTTTTAGTCCCCGTCTTTGTAGGAAACGAGAGTTCTGCTATCATTCCGGTGTCAAATTCTTTGATAAAAAAAATCATACTGATCAACTACGCAGTGTTCAATGAAACTGATTCGATGCAAGGGCGTTCAAATTAATGGTGTTCGATGCAATGGTTTTGGATGAAACGGCTTCGCTAAAATGGTATTCGATAAGATGGCGTTCGATGAAATTAGGAAAAACCGAAGCTTCACGAGAAAAAAACATTTTATCTACAGTTTTATGTTGCGTGCGTGTTACAAGAAACAGTGCTTCAAACTGTCTGGGTTGATTCTTAATTATTTCTCCTTCAAAATCGCACGTTTTATATGTATATTTTTTGCGTTGTCGGTACCAATAATTTTTGTATGTATTCTGGTCACTCGCATGTTCAATGGAAATTGGAAAATACCATTTCTATCTACTATTTCATTCAACGTAAGCCCCGATTATCGCCATTTTTTTATTTGACACCGAAAATAGGCACCAAAAGCCTCCTAAACTAAAAAAAAAAAAATAAGTAAAGCTGAAAAAAACCCTTGAAATTATAGTAAGTTAAAACCCAAGAACACGAAACGTTACACTTCCAAAAAACGAAAAAAAAAAAAAAAAGATATGTGATTTCACTTCCTTGAAAAGCACGTGAACAATATACCTTTTTAAAAAGTGCGCGCCATTTAATAGCCCCTGAGTCAAGTAGTGGAGTCCGCCATCGTTTGGGCACATACTCAGCCATGTGTTGGACACAAGCGCTACGGCACTATTCGGCGAAAACTCGCGAGCAATCACACGCTTCGTGCCTAAGCAATGGCAGCGGCCAATGTTGCTCGATAGTGTCTTCAAAATAGTCTACTAGACCTGCGCATATCGCATTTCGTGGTTCTATAGTCGCATCGTTTGAATCTTCACTTGCTCGGATTCTATTGTACGTCGCGATTGGTTGTCATGCGTTTTAGAGGAAATAAAATCGCAGACTTTTTTTTCTAAAGTGTAGCTATGAGTGACAAAACTCGATTCGTCTCGTTATGTACGAATGAATGGATGGAAGGATGTTACTGACTATACCCATTGTAACGGGCGGTAGCTTGCGCCACCTATCCGAAGTCTAAAAAGACAACTAATCCCACGCGGATGTGTACAACCGCACAGGCGATGAGGACGACGTGTTCGGGGGACCTTCGCGGCGGCGGCGGCTGCGCTGGCATCCCCTGGGTCCTGTGCACGCTGTGGCTGAGCACCGCCGTCCCCGTCGCCTCTTCGTCGTCCTGGGTCGGCGACGGAAGGGGCCTGTCCAGGACCGCCGAATCCAGGGCCGCAGGATTCGTCCGATGCCCGACCCTCTGCGTCTGTCAGGTAAAGGGGGACGGGAAGTTGATGGCTCGTCGAACCCGCTCAACCCACCCAAAACGATAGTCTAAAAGCCAAAATTTAGTTTTAGAGCGCAGCTCTCAGGCGCCCGTTTCCGGCTTGAGCGGCGTCGGCGTCGCCGTCGGCGTAACCGCGGGGTGCATTATGGGAAATATCCTATAATGAACCGCGCGAGGGCCACGTGACCAGGGTCACGTGACCTCGGGAGAATCACGTGACCCCTCGCTGTGCATTATGGGAAATGTCCCATAATGCACCGCGCGAGGGTCACGTGACCTCACGAGGGTCACATCAGTCCCGCGCGGTCAGGTGACCCTGGTCAGGTGACACACTCAGATCGCGTGACTCCCTCAGGTCACGTGACCCTCTCCCTCCTGAGGTTGTGACCACCCCTGAGGTCACGTGACCCCCCCTTAGGTCACGTGATCCCCCTGACGTCATGTGACCCCCCTCCACTCGCATGACCTTTGGCCATGCAGAGGAGGAGGGAGGAGGGGTATACCCTCCCCTCAGTACCTTTCCCTCCTCCTCCTCAAGAGCTGCACTCTAATTCGGTGTTGCAGGGAGTTGTAAAAGGCTTTAATTTTTTCTCTAGCAATTCAAAACCACAATCCCCCCCCCCCAAAAAAAAAGAATATATATATATATATATATATATAATTAAACGTTATAGACTTTGGCTACTGTTTGGCTATTTTTGCCCTAAAGCGCCACACAAATCTGGGGGTTGTTTGGTAAATACTTCAAATTTCTTGGTCATGTCAGAAACTTTCTCAATTATGTGTACCAACAAACCCACGTAAACGCAAATAAAAAGTTACTTGGCAAAAACAAACGCAAAGCCTAATTAGGCCGAAATTAGACCCCATAAGATTGCCAAAAGTGGGACTCATAAGGTTCTACTTCAAACCGTTAGTTAGTGCCAAAGTACTTTGGCATCTCTAGGGCATATGCCAAAGCTGCCACATATTAGCCAAGCTACCCGCAGTGAAGCCTACTAATGGCTCCCTTTGGATGGATGGAGGGATGGATGGATGATTGTTAATAACTATATCATTTTTAACGGGCGGTAGCCTGCGCCACTTTGCCGATGTAAAAAAAGAACAACATATGATTCCTACCGCCCTTCTAAGCCCAATTTAGGCTCAAATTTGCCAGGTTAAGACCGAACGATCGAAAACGAAGCCTAAGTTTGGCATTTCCTCGGAAACCGAGGCCCACAGAAGCCTCGTGACAAGCCAAGAACCAGGCAGTCAAGCCTAACTCTGGCGTTGGGCATTTCTGAGCCAGATTAGCCAGATCGGGCCAAAGAATATCAGGTTACGTTGTACCTTGGCTTTTGGGGGCTTTCGGGGACTTAGATTGCGAGGGAAAAACCGAATTTCGACCCAGAAAACTCGGCTACCTAGCATGATGCACCGTCTTCGGTGATGTCAATTGTTGCTACTTCGGGACCACTCTCTCTGCATGGGCAGAATAGGACGCTAACACACAAGTAAAGACGTGGCGGATTCCAGGCACCCTTTGGGCGGGCCATGTCAGAAAGAAGCTCGCGTTCTGGAGCAAGTGTTTTCAAACCACGGCCTGCAGGCCAAATCCGGCTTGCAGAGGTCTTGCGACCGGTCTGTGGCTGCCCGCGTTCCTTCCAATGATGCCCGGCCCGCTTCCCGCTTCTCGCAGGCCTACTGCTACAGGTGCAGAAATGAGCGCGCGTAAATAAATGGGGTCTCAACGCGCACCAACCGTGTAAAGAAAAAAACAACAAAAAAAAAACAACAACAACAGAAATTTGCAGATTGTTAGGCGTGTTCTCTCGTCGTATTTTTCACTGGACATTGTCATTACCAGGATCACCATTTTTAGTCACCGGTTTCATATCTGTGTAACTACGTAGGTTGAAATTTCCTTGCATTCCCATGCATACTGTGCTTAGTGTTCTGTTCCGCATCTATCGCACATTGTCAGCATCAATTCTATCATTCGTATTAGTCTTCTGGCCTGTGTAAACGTGGCCAACTTCTTTTTTTTATTTTGTATTTCAATGCGGATCTAGGATAATTTACTTGGATTTTCTCATACATATTTACTGATTGATTTTCTGGCCCTCGAGACAGCGGCATATCCCCGTTCCGGCCCCTTAGCCAAAAAGGTTGGAGATCCGCGTTATAGAGAGCTGTACAGTGCTTGCCAAACTTATACGGAACAGTTATGAAATATTGAGCCCAGAGAAAAAGATAAAATACGAGAAAATTGCGCATATTTTTGTGAACTGAAGGTAGGCTGCGGACATAGTAAGACACAAAGAGAAATAGCTTAGGGCTAGCGCCAGCTATGCACGCACACATAGAAAAAAATAAAATAGAAAAAGCCCAGAGTTGGCTTAGCATGTGTTAAGTTTGCTGAGCACTGTACATCAATCAACCGGTCTGCGATGTGCACTTATTGATGTTCCCAAGCCGATTGCATCGGGCTCAAATAACGCACGCGGAAATTCATTGACGATCTCTGCTTGGTGCCGAAAAGCAATGGCACCTATTAAATTGTATTTCTTAAACGCGAGATTTTGCCTGAATACAAGCATATCGCAAGGACAAATTTACGTTTTTAATTATTTCCAACGGGAAGACGTGAACTCCGAGCTGCCGCCACGCGAGTATTAAACCGTGAAATGTTTTTTTAAAGGGAAAAGTGACGTCAGGTGTGACGTTACGTGACCTATACACCAATTGAATTTCCCCGCTAGATTTAGCAAGAAAAATGGACCTTACAACAACTTAGTTTACATGTTAAATTGAGCGACAAAATATACGTCACGTGACCCGCCAATGCCCTCACCTCATCCCCCTCCTCCCTTCCCCCTCCCTTTCTCTCCCCATCCTTCCCCCTTTCCTAACAGCACCTCCTAGAGAACCCAAGCTAATGTTAGGGTCCCCATCCCTCTCCTCCTCCCTCCTCCTTCCTCCCCACCTACCTCCGATTCCTTTCCTCTCCCTATATTCCCCTTCCCCCTCTTACTATCTCTCCCCCATTCTTTTAGGAGCCCCCCACCCCTTCCTCTCGCCCTCCTTGGTTATGGCATATACGAACTCAGTTTCCCCGCTAAATTTAGAGGGGAAATTTACTTTATGTCACATTTCTCTCTCCCCATTATTCTTTTTTCACCCTCCTGTAGTGCCCTCTCCCCCCTCCATTTGCCTCCATTCTTTTCCATGCCTCCCCCACTCTTTACCTGTCTGCCCTCCTCCCCCTCCCTCTCTCTCTTTATCTCTCTCTCTCTCCCATTCCTTTCTCTCTTCCCTTTTACAGCGTTCTTCCTCCTCCCTCCCTCCAACTTGCCGTTCTTCCTCTTCCCCCTCCCTGGTCACGTGAGAGACCAATTCAACTTTCTGAAAATATATAAAGGTCTGCGGAGTGTAATTTCGTCTGCTTCTTGCACAGGGTTTGCGATGATGTAAGAACGCCGAGCTCTCATTGGCTGATCGAAAAAGATAGTGGGTAGACCTCGAGGCGTCTAGCATTGAGGTCTACTCACTATCCTTTCGATCAAAGCCAGTTAGCACTCGGCTTCGTTCTGACGTCACTGCAACTCCTGCGCAAGAAAAAAAGAGGGCTTGCTTTCCGAATAAATATTTCCCTACCGCGACGACAGTTCGGTGTCTTCCAAACAATTGAAACTATCTCTCCTAAAACTGCATTTCACTCATTAGAGGACTTCAGAAGTAAAATTCGCTGTCAATAAAAAAAAAAAAATACTGAGACCTCATTCCGCACATGAACTAGTCATTCACGAGTATCAAATTTATTCATTAAACGTTGCATGTTCCTTGCACTATGTTGGCTGGAACGCGTCTCCAACTGGTTTGTCTAGCGCGTCCACAAAACGGGTCCATCGAATTCCGCCTTATGACGTCATAGACGTGCCATGTCGTCGTCGGCCGGGATCCTTGCGGTGTTATGGCAGCGGAGGTGGACGCGGCAGACGCATGTTCTACATCCCACTCTCCGGGCTAACACTCCATGGACGCTTCAGCGGCCAAAAGTAGGGGCATGGTGATGATGGCGACACTCGCGTTCGTGCACACTTTTGGCCAGAATTTCTACCACCAACCGCCAGGATCGCGACGTCAGACAACACGATACGCCGGCTTCTATGACCTTATTTGTTTCCACGTCGGGACCACTTTTGATGTGCGGCTAGTGTAGGGCGCTAAACGCACCAATCAGAGTCAGCGTTCGAGACACCATGCCTTTCAGTGGTCTCTTTCCGCAAATGTTAGACGCTATCTTCTAGCAAATAAAAACAACAACAAAAGAAAACGTTTTGCTGATTTTCTTTAAAAAAAATCAAGCTATCACGCCTCTGTGCTTGTTGAAAACGAAGAGGGAACAAAATTACGGAGTGTGACATCTAAAATGGGTGGACGCAACGGAGTTTGCTGAGAGCGAATCGAAGATTGTGTCTGGACGAGTCTATCTTTTTTAAGAACAAAAAGGTACATGAATACATTTCACGTTATAGTCATTGACAAAATTAGAACGGCGAGGAGTTTCTTTTGAACGCCCGGCCTCCAAAACGTGTTCATGCCTTCCACCGTGCTTTAAAGTCGCGGGCGGGCGCGCGCTTGAAGTACACGAGACGCCTAGACGCCGTCGAAGGTAGAAACCTCGCACTGTAGGCGGGATAAGAAAGCTCCTCCCTGTTATTTTCACCTTGAGAGTGACTACCCATATAGTGTTCACGAATTCTCAGTCGTTCCTCTTTAACACCTCCACACAATGTGCGCGTTAAAGGTGGACACCTTAGTCCAGAGTGTCGAACCTATTTTTTAACGGTTCGGTTAGGGTTCGGTTCGCAGCTTTCGGTCCAGTTTCGGTTGAGCTCCGGAAAGCAAAAATAACGTTTCAAACGAGGTTGAATTGGTTCGATTCGGTTTAAACGGCTATAAATTAAATATGGTTTTATAATTTTAGTTTTAGAATAGGCG